AAGTAGCGTACTTAAGACATGTTTCTGTTGAATATTTACGAATCTCAGATTTCCGACATGTGTCCCCCCCAATTGTAAACATATTCCTACGCCCTTGCCTGTCCCTACCAAAATATTGGACCGACCTACTTGTCCTTAACCAATAATTCGTTGTGAATAACATGTTAATAATTTACAACACGGCGTTGTTGCAGCAATCGCTTCTTTTCCTCCTGCAGCTTTGCTGCCTGGAAGCTGCTGCTGCTCCGTCTGACTTCCTGCCTGCTCTTCCTTGTCCCTTAAAGTCAGTAACTGAGCTGTTTAACTCCTCTCTCATTGGTTGTTCTCCCTCAAGTCCCGCCTTCCTAACTCCTGATTGTCTGTTTTCTAGGCCGTATGTGTGCGTGCATGCTTGGACTGCGAAAATACAATTTTATTCAAGCTAGAATACTGCGGTTACTACAATTAATGTATGCTGAGAAACTAGTCCCTATTAAAAACTGAATTTTATCTGCGCTAAAACAGGTGAAAGCTGCTGATTGCAGTTCTTTAAGAAGCAAGAGAGTGTCTGGATCTGTGGAACCAACGTTAGCATCTCTAAATAATATTTAATTCTGAAGTATAATACAGTTTATTCACCAAAACCTTTTTTTCTTTTATAAAACTAAATACTCTGAGTCAGACAGGAGTTCTGCAGACCGCTGGAGAAACGGACAATAAAGACTGTAAGCTATAAAAACATCAGATTCTCAGCCAGAGCCGACTGAAGCAGAAAATCTGAGGGTTTCCCTTTAACTAATATTTAGTTGCTTTTACATTTTTTTATTTTTTGACGACGACCCTTTGAGGCATTTCAGGTTTAAATAGCAGCTGTTATTTCGTTATTAGAGCATAAAAACATGTCATTTAGATGAAATAGAATACACTGTATTTACAGTCCAGCTTCAATGTGTGGATTACTATGTTCTAGATGCTGTTATCTATACTTCAGGTGTTTTATGTAAGAAAAATGTCCAGAATGTTCCAATAAAATACATGAAATGGGCTAAACCCAGGAACTGCAGCCCAGTAGTACAACTTTTATATTGAAGTAAATATTTTAAGTGTCGGTTCCTCTTTTAGTTCCATGTAAATACATTTATTTACCGTCCCTTATTTCACTTTGTTTTATGACAGAAAAAAATTCAGCCTAACTGATAAAATAAGAGTGTGTTTTACCTCCGCCTCAATTCTATATCTTCCAGAGAAAAACAGGATAAAGCCACATATAACATATTTATTTTGACTTTATTTGGTTAAATATTCACGTATTTACCTTCTGTCTTAGTCGCTGTTCAAATGCAAACCTTTTCAAAGTGGAAAAAGTCTTAATTATACGTTCATTAGAGCCGCTGATGCTTCAAACATTCATAAACTGCATCTAGTGCTTAAAGCAGCATTCATGTTGCATAGAATCAATGACATCAGATTAATGAAACTTCAGACCAACAGTGTTCCTAAAAAGTTTAAATCAAACCTACAGTTTTCACCTGGAATCTTCACCAGCAACTTTTATCTTATTTCATTGTGTAATCATTCAGAGGTGGAATGCATTAGCATCTTTTCAGATGCACAAACCTTCTCCTATCATGAATCGCTTCCAATAAATCCTGATGTCGTCCTGCAGGTCCACATTTATTGGTGTCTTTTTGTCTTCAGCGTTATGTCAGAATAAACCACACAAATCATCCGTCTGCTAAAATAATTATATAAATTTCTCAGGTGTCTTTAGTTTGGGCAACGTGACCCTGACCTTTGGGTTTTATTTGCTTTTCTAACTTTTTCTTTGTTTCTTGTTGAATCTGGATGACGGTCTCCATCTGAAGCATCTCTCTGCTCTTGGAATAGCTTTTCTGGACATTCCTCCTCTGCTGCAGTTTTCTCCTTATGTGGATAAAACAACATGCTGCTGCTGGAGTCCTGAAGCTTCAGGAATCAATCAGCCTTTCCAGGCTCATAGACTTTGCTTCTCATCTGTTCTTTAGTTTCTTTATACTGGCATGAATGAGAGGTTTATCTTTTTCAGCTCTGATGTCTTGATCCATGAGGTCAAGCAGTTTATATTCTTTATATTTAATGGATTTGATGATTCTACAGTCATCAGGCAGCATCTGATTAATCACTCCTCATTTAATAGCTGGAAAAAATGGAAACCTAAATAAGTCATTTTTCTTAAAATAAGTGGATTTATTCTTAGATTGCAGAGGTTAGTGAGACACTTTATCAATGAAACAACAAAATACACTTAAAAAAAAAAAAAAAAACAATTTTATTGTCTTATTTCAAGTGCCTGTTATATAATTGTCTTATTGAAAGAGTAAAATTACTGATTCTACTGGCAAAGCATCTTATTTACTTGCTCAAGTTAAGGTAAACACACTTAATTTAAGAAATATTGACTTAAGTCTAGATCATTTTTGCAGGTTGCCTTTTTGTAGGAGTTTAGGTTGGTTTAGTTTCTTTAATGGCTTAAACGGTTGATTTAAATCTGTTTTTACTTCATTCATCATTGGTTAATATTTCGATGAAATCGTGTTTTGAGTGAAGCGACAGCTGCACGGGGGGTCAGATTGGATCTCATCTCTCTGTAGTTTCGTTCTGAGTGGAGTTAGTGCTATTTGATGAGCGCCCGATGCAGCCGGGGTTAGAAGTGTGAATCAGGCCCAGCGTGTTCGGCTTAAAGAGACTTGTGGTCTACCACAGCTTTATGACAACTTCACTCTCATGTCCTTTACGGCCAGACTGTTTGCCGCCTCCCTGCAACCCAGGCCTAAATTATCAAGATACAGTGTTCTATTTCTAGATCTATGCTAATGGAGTTGTTGTTGTCTGAATAGATCTTGTGTTGGTTTTTGCGTGCGATTCCCGTCTGTGAGCAACAGGAACCTGAAAACGTTGCAGAGGCTAGCAGTGAGAATAAATGAAGGTTTTTGTTGTGAAATGAGCGGCCAGCTGAAGCCGTTCTGCTGCAGCGGATCATTAGCAGCCTTTAGCTGTCGGACAAGATAAATACCTGCATTGTTAACACAGCTCAGCAATTCCTTTAAGTTCCAGACTTCATCCAGGGTCATTTAGAAAGGCTCTCATCTCTGCTGCCGGTTCACTTCCCATGCCTTTGTGATTGGTGAGCCATGATCAGGTGTCACTAATGTGTGTGTGTGTTTATCGCTTTGCCCTCCCTCTGAATAGACTCTCACCTTTCCTTTAACTGATCTCATTTCAGCAGAACAAACGGAGCCTCAGAGAGGGAAGCCATGGCAATAATTGTCCCTTGAGAGGAGGAAAGGAAAAGTTAGGAACCCCAAAAGGTGGAAAAAAGATTGGCAGGGATACAGAGAAGCAGGCAAAGGGAGTAAAAGGAAAGAAGAAGAAGAAGCTTTGAATAGTGACAGCTAGAGATGAACAGACTGCAGCCTCCAGGAAAGCCTCCCATTCCCGCTCTAACGTCTTCCTATTAGCGCAGCTTCTGAATCAACACTCCATGGAAAATAAAAATAGATGTAGTTCTGGTCCAGCTATGCATGGCCTCCAAAGTGAGCTACTCTGTCATTTTAAAAGCAGTCAGAGGAATGGCTGCTCATTAACAGGATCAGGAGCAGCAGCTAGAAGCTGAGGAAGCTGCTGTTAATGTTGATGTTGTGACATTAAGGAGCACAGCAGGGCTATTGTCTTTAGATTTCATTATCTGCTCATATTAAAGGTCAGATCTGGACACGGCGTAGTGATGTGGAGCCAGTTTAGATGGAACGGTTTGAACCGTCTCTGTTAATGAGGCTGAATTAGCTTTTCATCTGAATTCATTTGGTATCATTTGGTACAGAGTGCGACTGTCTGCCTTCGTTTTATTTCTGTCCGTTCTAAATGTGGATTTATTGTTTCTCTCCTCTGGTCCTGAAAGGTCCCCTGACCAGTCGGCAAATCTTCCGCTTCAGTGAGGAGGGTTTAGTGAATGCCAGATTTGACTACAGCTACAACAACTTCAGAGTGACCAGCATGCAGGCCGTCATCAATGAGACCCCTCTGCCCATCGATCTGTACCGTTACGTCGACGTATCGGGGCGGGTGGAGCAATTCGGCAAGTTCAGCGTCATCTTCTACGACCTCAACCAGGTATCACACCATCGGTCTATTTTTTATTGCTCTTCTAGCTCCATTAGCCGATATTTGACAGGAAGTCTGTAAAACTCAGAGTGGCGTTTAAAAGCGGCTCTGCTTCTGCACTGAACTGAGCGCATGAAGTCATTTCAGCACTTTAAGCTGGATGTTATGCTTTTATTCCAGAGCTTTACAGAAATCCAGAGTGTCAGCAAGACGCTGCCATTGAAAGCTGTACGGCGGAATGTTTAAACTGATCAGACTGTTTCTGCAAAGCAGCCATTCCCTCTGCTGCTTCTCTGTTTCTAACACTGCATCACAAACTGATTATAGGTGGAAGGTCGTTTTTATTTAATGTATAAATGTCTGTCCAAAAGTGGGACTTTATTAAAAGTAGCTCTGACTCATCATATATTTACTCAAAAACAGTATTTGGTGAAAAGGCCTCTAAAGTACTGAGTAACAGATCTACTAACTTCCCATAATCGCATTTACAAAATATTTTATTATGCAAATTCTGCTGTTTCAAAGAAAAGGAAAAACATACAGTAATAACATAAAAGAATAGATACAAATAAATGTTTAGAATTATAAAATTTACCAAATCAATAGTTGGGAATGGATTAAATTGCTGTATTTTTATTTACAATCCAGTTAAGTATCACAGAAAATCAAAAATCGGGTTTTCTGGTGAGGCTGTGGGAGAAGCGTCTCTATCACAGTCGATTAGAGCAGATGTGGATCCAAAGCATGTAGCCAGAAACACACGAATGAAGGAAATGCTTTTTATGATCAATATTATAAATATAAATGAACCAAAGACATCAGGATGTGATCGGTTCTATATCCCGCTAATAGGCTGCTGCTTCTAACGAGCCAAATATAGAGCAAATCATTAAACAAAAACATGACTGTAAACTCTTAAACTATGTAGAGTTTAATGAACAGAATGACTTTTATACCAAAGTTTGGGCAGAGGTGCCAAGTTTAATTCTCCGTCTGTTTTTCATTATAAGGTTTGAAACTTGAGGATTCATAAAACATGGCGGATGGTCAAATGTTGGAAGTCTTGTTTTGCTAAATTAGAGCCTTAATGATCCTGATGGTGGTTTTCTCAGGTCATCACCACCCATCTGATGAAGCACACCAAGGTCTTCAACTCCTATGGTCAGGTGGTTGAGGTCCAATATGAGATCCTGAAGTCCATCGCCTACTGGATGACCATTCAGTACGACTCAGCGGGCCGCGTGACCACCTGTGACATCAGGGTGGGCGTGGACAGCAACGTGACCCGTTACACCTATGAGTACGATGCAGACAGTCAGCTGCAGAGCGCCTGGGTCAATGAGCGCCCTCAGTGGCGTTACGGATACGACCTCAATGGGAACATCAACCTGCTCAGTCATGGAACCAGTTCTCGGTAAGTCAGCGTCTCCACTCGGCATTTTACCCGATTTGATCTTCTTTACGCCACGCCGCCCACGCGGCGCCGCTGATGACAAAAAGCATGAATAATGGAGTTATTTCAGTGAAGAGCTTTGACAAAAACACGGCGCTTTGCTGAAGCTGATGGGAATAAAAGGTGACGCGTTTTAACGACTCTAACAAATAAAAAAGAACCCTGGAAAGTGAGGCGTGTGTTTTTAATCAGGTCGTCCACTTTAAACTTTATAGATTCAACCTGTGCTGCAATTACAGGTCTGGGTTAGATCTGCTCCTGGTTCACAATAACTGCCACTGAACTTTTTACATTTCTATTCTTTGGAGAAAAACAGCTTAAATTCAGCCACCAAAGATTGGAAGTGTTTGCTAACATCATTATTTAAATTAGAACTGAGCCCTGAACTTTGCAGAGTTCGTTAATGTTTTCATCCAAACTAATTCATTGAAGTTATGGCTGTATATTCAGGGTTTAAAGTCCTTGTTCATTTGAAATTTTTCTCTAAGTTTTAAGCTTTAACTCGATTCTTCCAGGACTTTCTTTATTTATCTTCTTCTCCAACCAGCTTCCTTTTCCCAATGCTGAAGACAAACATGTTTTTAAATGGAAACTGGCTGCTGCCGGCGCTATGCTTCTGTTTAGGGCGGCGTTTTAAGGGCGATGTACAGCATTTTTGTTCCTTACATAATTCAATTCAGAAATTCTTTATTAAGTCCAAAGGGACGTTAAATGTTGTAGTAATGTTGATGCTGTAGGCAGGAAGGATCTCCTGCAGAGGTCTGTTTTGCACCGGAGCTGGAAAAGCCTCTGACTGAAGACACTCTGTTGTCTAACCATCTACTGAAGAGGATGTTCTCTGTTTTCTATCATTCTCTTCCCTTTATGGTTGAAATCATCCCAGAGGTTCTGAAAGTCTTCCTAAAGCAGAGTCGGCCTTCTGGTTCTTTCCAGATGATAAATTCAAAATAGACGTAAACCAAAAACCAATCAAACATATACTAAGTTATCTCACCAGTATATTTATATGAATGCCAACAACAAAAACATTATAAAAACATCATTTCATGTCCAGGTTAATTTTTGTCCATAAATCTTGTCCTTCTGAGGCTTTGAAGGTAAATCTGTGTTTTGGTCTAATATTGAGACACAAACCTAAAAAAATAATCAACCAGTTTAATTATGGAGAAGATATTAGTCAGCTTTAAAGTTTTTTAATATATAAAAACTATTTATTTTCTGAGAATGTGTTTTTTTAAGAGCAACTATACAAATAAACAGTCATGTAGAAAAAGTCGACTAGATTCTATTATTTTCCATGTGAATCACAGATTGTTCATCTTTGTCTTTTCTCCAAACTGCTTTAAATCAGTGGTATGTGTCTTTATCCACGCTGGATCAGATCCTGACCTTAGAAAAAGGACTCGACACCATAATCTCTACCTCACCTGTCTTCCTACATCACCTGTATCACTGTAGAGGGCCCAACGATCCAGGAGCCCCAAAGCCTTAATGTTGGCGATGCTGATTGGCCAAATATTTATTAATTTTCTCTAGCAACGTTATACAATTGGTTATTTCTCCACAGAATGAGCGGCTAAGAAGAGAAATGATACGGAAAATACTGATGAATGGGAGGCAGTTGTTGTTTTAATAATTCATATTACATGTAGCCACATACTATTAACTAAAAGTGACAAAGATAATATTTTTAAAATCTATATATATTGTGATTTTTCCCCTCCACATCCATGGAGGGCAGCGCCCAGGCGCCCCCTATGGGCCAGCCGCCACTGTAAGAGGGCAAGATATAAAACAGAGCAAGAAGTGTTGGAATCTCCGTCTGGAAATAACAGATAGATTTTCGCCCAATCAGATTCTGAGAAGCTGAGTTCCACCTGCTGAAATCCCTAATTCCTCTTTTCAGACTCACACCTCTACGGTATGACCAGAGGGATCGGATCACACACCTGGGTGAGCTGCAGTACAGCGTAGACGACGACGGTTTCCTCCGCCAACGGGCCAACGACCTGTTCGATTACAACTCTAATGGTCTGCTGACCCGTGTCTTCAACCGCGCCACTGAGCGCGCCGTCTGGTACCGCTACGACGGCCTGGGTCGGCGTGTAGCCACCAAGAACAGCGAGGGCGAGCAGCTGCAGTTCTTCTATGCCGACCTGTCAAACCCCACCAGGGTGAGCCACCTGTACAACCACAGCAGCAACCTGATCACGTCGCTGTACTACGACCTGCAAGGCCATCTCATCGCAATGGAGCTCAGCAGTGGGGAGGAGTATTACGTGGCCTGCGACAGCGTGGGGAGTCCCAGGGCAGTGTTTTCCAGCAAGGGTCGGCTGGTCAAAGAGATTCTCTACACCCCCTATGGGGAGGTCTACCAGGACACCAATCCTGACTTCCAGCTCACCATCGGCTTCCATGGAGGGCTATACGACCCCTTCACGCGATTGGTCCACCTTGGCAGACGGGATTATGACACCCTCGCCGGTCGATGGACTTCACCCAACCACGAGCTGTGGGGGGAGCTGAGCAAGGAACCCAAGCCATTCAACCTGTATGCCTTCAACAGTAACTGCCCAGTCGGGACGGTGGAGGAGGTGACGCAGTTTACAACCGGTGGGTTTTAAACAAGCATGGCTGCACATTCTAACCCAAAGCCCTTCCTGACAGACAGACAGACAGACAGACAGACAGACAGACAGACAGTAGGAGGCGCAGGCAGATATTTATCTTCATGACCTACTATAGCTGCAGCTCATTGGAGAACAACATCTGGCATAAAGATAGAGTAAAGGGCACCCAGCTAACCACAGACTGACGAATCGGCAGCCCAGGATAGTCACTCCTCTCATCACACTGTTTTTATCACGTCTGCATGTTTTCTTCTCTCTGTCTGTCAACACAACACTATTGCCCCAAGAGAAGCTCAGGTGAGAGAAAGAGATGAAAGAGGAGAGCAGAAGATGAATAGAGGATGTAGGGGGGGGGTTGTCCTTCTGGTTAATGGAACATTCATTCAGCCCGTCACGTCTCCCTGCTGCAGGATTGTTTATAGCAGATTCTGTACGTGTCTCTGCCACTCAGATCCGCCTCACATTATGCTCCCATAGATTGTGTGATTTTCTGTGTGAGGTGATGCTTTAACTGCCTTTTTATTTGCTGCATAGTATAGACGCTGCATTAGAACTGTTTCCCTGAGTGTCATTTTCTCTTTCTGTGTGTCTGTGAGTCCAGATATTGGTAGGTGGCTGCAGCTGTTTGGCTTCCAGCTTCATAATGTTGTCCCAGGATTCCCAAAGCCTGAAGTGAGCCGAATGGAGCAGACATATGAGCTGATGAAGACTCAGACAAAGACTCAGGACTGGGACTCCAGCAAGGTGAGGATTTCCTGTCTCTACTAAAGACTCACTAAAGACCTGACCTTCACTAGACATGAAGAAAACAACATTTATATAAACCAAGTCACAACACATGGCAACAATCCCTCACAGCAAGCATGCATGCAGCAACATGGAGAGCAAATACATACATAGACATAAACGCACTTATATATAAATATTTCTATGTAAGGTGACAGTAAATTAGCTCCACAGCAGGAGGCTCTGTCTGGA